CCATTATTATACTATAGTTCAGTTGATCAAGTACGAATAGAACTGGCTGTTTTCCTTGTTGGAGGATATGCCTATATTTAAGACTTTAAAATGTAAGTTAAAGAAATAAAAAGAGAGAATATTCACATATTACGATATGCTAGAAAGAACAAACCTGTTTGAAAAAGATAAAGAGGGTTATATGTTATTGAATTTAACACTTCTTTCTGTATTTGATGCTAAGCCTATTGTTATTTAGTTAAATTTGGAGATGTTCAAACTCATTACGACCTTTGGACATTAAAAAACACAGAATGATAAACTTAAATCGCTGGTTTCACAAACCTTTGGTGATTTTTTTTTCTCTTTTTTCCCTGTAAATTGAACAACCTTTAAACATCAGACAGTAATACTTCATATATCTCTTCGTTTTCAATATAGATGTGGTGGATTCCTTTATTTCTTTTGGTAGAGCTGACGTCACAAGCCTGTAAGTATGCTATATGTGCCTAATAATTATTTTACATTTTTTCTCACTCTCCATGTTTCTGTACCTTTTTTAACTATCTATATAATTAATAGTTTCGTTTTAAGTTCACTTACTTATTATAAGTTTTATTTTATTACAAGTTTAAGCTTTTGCCGTAAGGAAAAATATTTTTTTAAAACAGGTACAACCTTTTGATCACTGGTGCGATCATTCTCAAATACACAAGTTTTAACGGTAAAGTTTTACTCGAAACTCATTGGCCGATTACGGTAGCTTTCATCTAAAAAATCGACTGAAGCGCTCCGAGTGAGTAAAAATTATGTTGTTACTAGCAGAGACTCGCACAACATTTGCGATCAAATTAGTATCTTTGCTACAACAGTACTTCTTTAAATACAGGATTTCTACAATAATACAAAAGAATTATAATCGCAGACACCGAAATCTGTAAGTCCACTTGTCTTAGGCCTAATATTAGTTGAATCTTTATTAGGTACGGCCTATATTAGATAAACATAAATTAATACAGTAACTTGTGTACGTTGTTTCTTTAGTTTAATTAGGACTAAACTTTACCGTAGTTAATACTGTCAATAAATAAACGTATTATGTTATTCTACGACCTAACTTTAGACCTTTTTAAAAACTTTGATAAGCTTTTAAAATATTGTCGTACAAAATGTCTACTAAAGTATATTTACATCCGCCTTTTGTCCGCCGTTGAAATGAAGTATGCGCGCATTTAGATAGTAAGGTGCGCGTGCATTTTCAAGGCAGACGAAAACTGAGTATTATAATAGATTCTGTAATAATTTAGACGCAGCGACGATAAAAGACTCTTCGAACCTGAAACTGGTATGTTACTACGCTAACTGGGCAGTTTATAGGCCTGGACTGGCCAAATTCACGCCAGACAACATCAACCCATACTTATGTACCCATTTGATCTATGCTTTCGCTGGCTTTGGCAAGGATTATGAATTGAAGCCTTTTGATTCGTACAATGATATTGAACAAGGTAAGGAATATTACTGCACTTTGATTTAATTTACATATATTTGTGTACGTTTTTATACTTCAAGCTTATTTCAATAATATTGCATCTTTTTGTTTTGCCGTGTTAACCTGTTTTCTTCGGCATTTCAAAAAACGCACATCTTTAGGCCAAGTAAAGAAAAAAATAAACATGTTTAGCGTGCGGAATTTTCGAAAAACGAAAAGAGGAGGTCATTTTTCTTTTTAATGACCTCTTTGAAAAAAAGTTTGAGCCCTTTTTTTTCACGACTATTGCTTCTTTTCAAGGGCCCGGCATGGCCAGGTGGTTAGGGAGCTCGACTCGCAATCTGAGGGTCGCGGGTTCGAATCCCCGTCACACCAAACATGCTCGCCCTTTCATCCGTGGGGGGCGTTATAATGTGACGGTCAATCCCACTATTCGTTGGTAAAAGAGTAGCCCCAAGAGTTGGCGGTGGGTGGTGATGACTAGCTGCCTTCCCTCTAGTTTTACACTGCTAAATTAAGGACGGCTAGCGCAGATAGCCCTCGTGTAGCTTTGCGCGAAATTCAAAACAAACAAACTTGTTTTCAAAGGGTCCACGTCAAACAGAAGTCGTCTTTGTTTCATTTTTTCATCAAAATGATACAGAATTTATGATAACTAAAGAAAAATGGCAAAATGAATCAACTATATTCATCTAATTTTTTATCCAGAAGTCTTCTTTGTATGATCAAAAAACGCTAATTCAAAAAAAAAAAAAATGCAGCGGGCGGGGACGCTAAAGATGTATTTTGTTTACTTGGCCTTAATTTAAAAATTAAAGCAAACATAAAATCCTGTGATATTTTGGAATATCAATCGTATTTTCTTATTGATTACGTATTAAAATAATGTTATATACAGTTGTGTACTAACTTAACACGTGCCTATATGTGGAATATATACCATCATCAATATATATTAAAGCCAATTGTCAGTCGTTAACGCTCGATTTCTCTTAATTTCGTGAGTTACACGAGTCCAATTCCACTTTTTTCTCCTATAATACTTCCTCTTTTGATTGTCCGTTCCCATTTTTATTGATTTAATCGCTAACATAGGCGTAAATAGTTCGTAAATGTCGGCAATTTTTCTGCTGTGTAAAAGCCTGTCAAGGCGGGAGTTCACAGGACCAGATCAGGCATGGCGTTATGTGCGTGACACAACATCATCCACATCATTATGACGTCAAGCTAAGTAGGATCCGAATAGGAAAGCCGAGATGACTTCCATGATCGAAGACACGGAAATGCATACGCACCCTATCAACGCCTGTGAAAAATAAGTTAAAAATTAGCGCAAATCTATGCTTGGAAATTATTACGAAAAAGCCTTTGTTAAAACAGACTGAAGATACCAATTATCTGTAAGGAAGAGGAAGACTTTTCGTCAGAAGAAGAACAGGTTTGTATACAATCACATGGTCTTATCGTATGTTTTAATCTTTTATCCAAAGGCACCAACACGTAGCATGTTTGCTCAGTTATATATAGTGGATTCAGGAGCAATATGTAACATGTTCCTGGGGAAGGAAATTTTATATTAATGTATTAATTTATGTTGTCAGTTTTATACGGAATAGTTTTGGTTTCCTGTCATTTTTGAGCAGAAAACATTTTGATATATATTTGTTATCATTCCAGAGACCTATATTATTGTTACCTGTGACGAAAGCTTTCTAATCTTTTGAAAATTATCTAAAAATTTTCATAATTGTAATAATAATCGAAACAGGATGTAAAAGTTGAATAACAATAAGAATAATAGAGCAATATTTAGTACTTGTGGCTGACATTTTTCGGAATATCTGTTTGTCTCCGCTAGGCCCTTTTCTAGCTAGGCCTATACGTAAGTTTGTTTGAGAATACAGTTAATTAATTCATGTAACTGGCGTTCAGTTTTCTTCTTTCTTTCCAACTCTCATATAGGTTTAAGTTGAATGTTAATTTAACTTTCTTGGTTTATTTTTTTGTTGTATTTATGAGTATAATCCTAATATTTGCACTTAATTAAAATCCAAACGAAATCCTACCCTAGAACTTTAATTTGCATCCCGGCTGACAGATCAACGTCGGGCAGGCTTTCAGTACCACTAACACATTCTCACGGCCTTTGTGTGGTGCCTAGAGGCGAGAAAAATTTTTGTCAGTTTGGCCTTTGATAAATAAACATACATAAATTATAATTTGATATACATATTTTTAAACTAGTTTTGATTTACAGCGATTAGAAACCCGTTCCACTGTTAACATTATTCTCATTAACACTTGAAGTGTAGCGTTCATAATTCACAACACGTCGGCAATAGCCTTTCCAGCTCTCTACTATTGTTAGGACTATTTTCTGTTTCCTGGGTTATCTTTTCGTTGATACCTTCTTCTAAATATTTTACTATAGACGTTTGGTATTATTTTGAATAAAAAATGAACAAGATCCAGTTTTAAAAATTCAAATGTAAAGTTTTTGTTCAAGTATGCTCAATTCACCTTTCCAGAACTTCTTTTCCAATAGGTGAACTGGAATAGAAAGTTGCGTTTCCAATATGGCGTAAATTGATTTTGTTGTTGTTGTTCGAAGATGTTTTATTGTCGTTGTTGCTGACAACAGTGTTGATCTCATAATAATTATTGTAGTTACTTACAATAAAATGTTATCCTTATCACTACTTTGCTAAGAACCATCCAGAAACTGGGGGTGTTGTTTGCGGAACGTAATATGCATTGGTACACTTGCTCTACCATCTTGATGACGTCACAACCTTCTCGTCGAGAATAGTCGTAAGAAGTCCAAAACACCGTTTCGAGTCACTTTATTACCTTGCAAAAATGCCACCTGGTCAAATTGTTCATGACAATGAATCGATCATGCCCCTAGATACATCATGGGATCAAACGACATGAATTCCAACAGCGACTCGGGTGTTTAATCGCATAAACTATGAAATCTGTCGAGTGCAAAAAAAATGTTTTAATTTGATTTTATATATTGTATAAAACAGTAACTAAGGTTGCCGAATTAATCAAGCTACAACTAACTTTTTAGTTGTACGAAATAGAATAATTCATGAATCACGGTAGCCACTATATCGTATGTAAGACATATTATGAAATAGCTACACAGTTGGTTATTTATGCTATGCCTATCGCAAAGATCGAAGTCGAATTTTAGTGCTATCATTTCTTCTTTTTTAGAATTTTATTTGAAATTGTTTGCTCTATTTTTGCGAAACTGTAAAACCTTCACATATCTTAATTATTCTCACTTTAAAAAATTACACTAATATTTTTTTAAAGACTAAGGTATTTGTAAAATCGTCTAATCAGTCTTGTGATAGTTGTTTTATACTTTTATTTTATTTTGCCAAATCATACTTAACTGTAAAGAACAGTGCTTGATTTTCAAGTTGCATTTAAAAAAAACACGTTTTATTGGTAGAAAAATGTGATCACATTTTAAACTAATTAAATATTCATACAATTGTGACGTGTTTTTATCAATGGATGGGTTTTTTTTTTGGATTATCTGGTAAATTAATGCCAAGTCCAGTCCACATAATAAGTTAATTTCATCTATAACGTTTATACTGGCTACGTTCACTTTAACGCAGGTTGTAGGCCTAAGTCTACAATGTTTCAGCGAAAATTCCTCGCTAATGTAATTGTACCAATACCTAACTTACAAATGCTCGTAAAATTTCACAACCGAGCAACTGAAAACAAACGATAATTAATATTAATCACTCACTAAATACTTCACTGAACTAACTAACTGCTTCATAAATTATATATGCATGTCTACATATTAGTTGAAGTTTCTCAATTATTACTTCATCATCACGACTTGCAGTGCCTTTTGCAAAATAACTAAATTATAAACATGAAAATATAGTTTATAACAATACTTTATGTGATTGTACACTTACGCTAATAAGAATATTTTAGCGCCCTCTATCTCACTGCAAATATAACAATTGGATTATTCGGGTTACTCTTTTATTGGAAATAAACAAAAATCACCGCTTTTTATTAAGAAAGGTACTTTTATTAAATGGTAAGTAATTATTCCGGAAAAACAGTTATGAAATAGAATTAATAAAAACGTGCATTTTGTTACAATTAGATATTGCTTTTAGGAATTAGTAAGACTTTGTTTTTTAATGAACAAAGGTGCGAGGTTTTTATATTGATATATCAAATGTATAAGACGAGTAGCCTAAGATTTAAAATGGAGCATTAAAACACCAGAAAAATTTAGAAACGTTCAATAATTGGTTGTCTACGTTTTTGTCTTTCAAGTTATAACCACTGTTAGGTATTCGTTAGCCACTGGACAAATGAAAATATTGTCTAAATCACTACGAACATGCTCAGTTCTCCTTATCACTATTAGATGGCGCCTTTGATAGTTATGACATATGTGTTTGAATGCTATTTTCGGCCTAATTTGTTTATGTAACGTGTAACTATCATAATTCAGCGTCTCGAACTCGGTACGATCGACTTGCGAGTTTAAGTAGCGATCGGAAATTGGTGAAATTTTAGTCGACTGGACTATTCTGGTTATGTAACGCACAAAAAATTGGTTTGCTGTTAACAACGAGAACAAAAGTTCAGCAAGTTCTAAACCCTATATTCAGAGTTTGGAATGATGGCGTTATCCCACCTTAGTCTTTAGATTCAAATTAATTTTAACTAAAATTGTTTATCCAGTACGTGTTGTGTAATACTTTATGCAAATATGAGTGTGTATATATATATATATAAGTAAATTGTTATATTTCTTTTAATTGGTTTTCAGAACTTCGCCCATTTTTTGTCTCCTAAATACCCACGGAAAACATTGAATTACAAATAAATAAAAAAAAGTCACGTGTTGGAAATACAGGGACTGCAGCTTGCACGCTATTGGGGGGTGCACCCACTTATTTAGGGGAGGTGGTAGATCTTGGGGAAAAAATAACCGAAGTAAATTATCTCCTATTCATTACCACTAGATGTCACTGTACATTAATTAATAAATCATTTGAGGCAGCGTATTATTATAAAACTATTACACGATAACTTTCTCGTTATTATTATTAAGGCTATAGAAATTTTTTTACGTCTGATCTACTTATTATTATTATGTTTAGTTTTAATTGTATTTATTTTTCGTCTTTGGTTTATATTTGTCATAAATTTTTGATATCACTTGGGAATCTTAAACGGGAGGAGAAAGAAAATCTAAATTGGACAGGCAAGGCCCTATACGGCGCTGACCGAGACACGTACATTTCTTTGTTAAAATGTGAATACGAAGCGTTTCGTGCATTTAATTCATGCAAATATTTCGTAATAGTTTTAGTTTACTCCGTACAGTATTTACTCGAACACTATTACAATAACGCTAAAAATCGGGCTTCGATACGTGCGGTGGGCAGAACATAGATAACCAATTGTCCAAGAAGAAACGTAATTAGATTTCGACAGCTATAAAATATATATATATAAATATTTTTAAATCTTAAATAAACACTAGATTTAGTCATGATAGACAGTTTACTAATGTAAATGTCATACATAAAGACGAATTACAATATTTTACTTTTGTAATTTAGGTAATTACAGAAAATTCGTGGGTCTGAAAAGGTATAATCAAGACCTAAAAACAATGATTGCTATTGGAGGTTGGAATGAAGGATCAAAAAGGTATTAGCCAATCAGTTGTTTTTATATTTCTTACAACTAACTATAATTAAGTCGATCATTGGTTTAGAAGACAATATCTATATTTTAAGGCCCTGATTGCTATTGGAGGTTGAATGATGGATCGAAAAGGTATTAGCCAATCAGTTGTTTTTATATTTTTTACAACTAAATATAATTAAGTCGATCATTGGTTTAAGAAGACAATATCTATATTTTAAGGCCCTGATTGCTATTGGAGGCTGGATTTTGTTTATTGTTAAGCCTAAAGCTAAACAGTGGGTATCGAAACCCGGCTTTTAGATTTACCGTTTAACCACTCGGGAGCTGGAATGAAGGATATCTAAAAGGTATTATCCATCTAATTGTTTTTTATATATACATCTGAATAAATGGTAAGTATCAGCCGATTTTTCATGTCTCTTATGCAATGTTTAGGTTGTTATCGATTTAAATCTAATAACTTTTCGAAGAAATACTTTTCATTTCCAAAGAAAAGCTTCTTTCTTAAACATTTTAATCTTGGAAACTTGTTGGTTGATGGACAAAATCATTATTTTTATCTTAATATATATTGCTTCTCCAAATTTTATTAATATTTACTTCCCAAGTCTTAGGGCTTATGACGCTAAGAATCGGATTTCGATATCCACGGTGAGCACTTAATAAAAAAAATAAAAAAAAAAAACGTGGTGTAGCCTCAAATCTTTTGTTTGTTTGTTTTATTTAAAAGTTCTGATTTTTGGAATGCATTAAAACCTGAAATTGATAAATTTGAGGTTTGTGATTCCAGGTTTTCTAATCATTCTGATATATGTTTTATTGTAGTTTAAAAACTTGAATTTCGGAAATTTGACGGTTGTGATTCCAGGTTTTCTAAGCTGGTAGCAGACTCTTCAACGCGTGAAAAGTTTATACAAAGTACCATACGCTACTTGAGACAAAATAGGTTTAATGGCCTGGACTTGGACTGGGAGTATCCTGGTTCGAGAGACGGCAGCAGCTATGATGATCGCAAGGGTTACGCTCTTTTAATTAAGGTTCGTGTCATATTATTCTTGAAACTAGGAAATAAAAAAAAAATGACAGAGTGTGTGTTTTCTTTACTTTCAACTTGCTTTATTTCGTAGTTAGTGCTAGGTTTGTGCACAATCAAGACAAGCAACCACTGGGGACTTCTCACTGACAAATCAGAAGAACATTTCAAATTATAATATATAATCTATATTTTTGTTAAACATCTAATTTGAGATTTAATTTTAAAACAAATATTTGAAAGAACTATATATCTATATATATGTTTGTTTTTGTTTTGTTTGTTTGTTTTTTAATTTCGCGCAAAGCTACACGAGGACTATCTGCGCTAGTCGTCCCTAATTTAGCAGTGTAAGACTAGAGGGAAGGCAGCTAGTCATCACCACCCACCGCCAACTCTTGGGCTACTCTTTTACCAACGAATAGTGGGATTGACCGTCACATTATAACGCCCCCACGCTGAAAGGGCGAGCATGTTTGGTGTGAAAGGGATCCGAACCCACTCTATATATATATGTTAAAAGTTTTATTTTATTTTTCACCAAAGGTGAAATTGAAAAGAGAACCTGTGACGTAAAGGTCTAATGCATTCTTTTATTGGCTGTACTCTCTGCTTGGACTGCAGTTCTGCCTATTCGAGGCTTATCAGCACAGCTGACTAAGCGTCATAACATTAATCACATACCTAACTTAATATAGGTTACTGTATGGTGAAGTAAACCGGACTCAAAACCCCGTAGATATTTGAGGGAATTGTTCAGAAAAAATGGTCATAAATACGTCATCATAAAAACAAAACATTTAGATAGACGTGCGTCGTAAATGTTGCAGTATAAAACTTCCAAGATCCAGTGGGTGAAAACATCTAACGAAATTATAATGTAGACAAAAGGAATACACTTCGAAGATGTGACCAATGATTTAAACGTAGAAATTAGGGGTCGCAAAAAACGCCAAAAATTTCCTTTTACAATTTTTAGTTATACGGATTAATGATTGTTAGAAAGGTAACGCAAGTTGAATATATCCTACCTTCTTTAACGTTGATGACATTTGTTTAATAGTTCCTTTTATATATCAGTAGTTATGATTCAGGATATGGAGGGTGGCGCTTCATAGAGTGCCCTGTCCAACTTAGAATATTGACACATCGTCCACAGGAAACTGACAACATCTGGTCTTCGCGAAAACCTCTCCAGAGTTCTGAACTAGTGAATGATTCAAATAATGTATATCCATTTTTTCTTGATTTTAGTTTGTGGCGCCATCTAGCCGTCAGTCTTCTGTGTAACTGTAACTCCTCGGATATTTTAACCTCGGCTAAGTGACTCATAGAATAGCCGAGTTTTTTTTGTTTTTTTTTAGTACAAACTTTTAGCTCATAGTTCCGTCATCTCTTGACCGATTTGAGGTCTAATTACAGTTTTGGACTCAGGAGGTTAAACCCTTTCGATTGATGTATTTGACCACGTCCAAAGTCTCGTAGATTAATTTAATCCTGCCTAAAATAATTTCAATTTGATGGTAGGCTTGTAGAGATCCTGATGAGTAATAAAATTGAAAGATTGTGTTACATGTTTAACACCGCGAGAAAGATTGTGTTCCATGTTTAACACCGCGAGAAAGATTGTGTTCCTTGTTTAACACCGCGAGAAAGATTGTGTTCCTTGTTTAACACCGTGAGAAAGATTATTGTTTGTCATATGTTAAGTTAACGCCGAAAGATAAATAGGTGGCAGCACCAGTAACGTTAATTGATTGTTTGTAGTTTTATTTATTATACAGAAAGTTAGTGATATACATATACAGTACAATTGGGGTCTTTACTGCTTTTTTCTTCCTAATGATGGTGGGTCTGTGACCCATAAAAATATGTAGTAGTTGTTAGTATGGCCTATTTCCATTTAAAAATCTTTTTTTAAAGTATTGTGTATATTTTAACGTTGTCTTGTTGAGTTTTTGATTCTGTATTCATGATTGATGAGACACAATTTTCTGCAGTTGGATAAAACAGAAAAAAAGAGAGAGAGAGAGACAGCCAAGAGAATAAGTGACAGGAATACGACATTATTGGTGTTAGATATAATGTAAACCTGCTCAAGTTTATAACATCGCCTTTTCCCCCGCCCACATCCTGTATAACTGATTTATTTATACTAAATATAATAAAAAGGTATATTCCCCTCCGCTTGTTTTTGTGAGGTTTGTATACATTGAATTGGCTTTAGAACATTTTGTTGTGGTTATTCTAGGAACTACGAGAAGCTTTTGACGAAGAGAGCAATTCGCGCGGAAAGGAGAGACTGATACTTTCAGTCGCAGTGCCTGCTGGGAAGGATTACATTGATAATGGATACGACGTTCCAGAAATATCAAGGTAACTAGTATCATCTGATGTGTCCATCTTTTTAAACACTCAATTTTCATCAGACGTAAGGTGAGGAAAGAGGTGGATGGTGGGTGTATCAAACGTATGTTGTATGGAGATGGGTGAAAGGTGGGTGTATCACAACTATAAGGTGAGGAAAGAGGTGGATGGTGGGTGTATCAAACGTATGTTGTATGGAGATGGGTGAAAGGTGGGTGTATC